CAGACACCAGATGGTGTGACCATGGCTGCAGACAGGCTGAAGACCATCTTAAAGGTTTCTGCGGGGCATGTTCCCATGGCTACCGCTTTATACCTGTCGTCTTTGACTCAATGCACTCAATGCACCGTGCCCACAGACATAGACCAGCCCAGCTTTAATTAGTCTCTGCAGCTTTTTAGTTTTTTAATTCACATTTGTTGTTTATAAACCAATGCAAGTATGCTTTCACATATTAGGTGGATGGTTGCAATTTTTCCAGAAACGTGTAAATAATAAAGTGTGTCTCCTGCTTATGTGTGCGCTGACTTAATTTTGTAAAAAGTCAGTGCGAGTAAACAGGACGGGGAGGAGAGGGGAGACAGACAGTGGCTGCGCTTAGTCGGCAGAAAAGTAAAGGTTTTCAATCGTGACCTCTGCAGCAACACGACAGATCTCTACCAGTTCAAACACCAATTGACTCACGACCGACTAATACATAAACAGAACTCACAAAAGCAGATGAATCTTTTTGAGAGTTTCATATCACTAATGAGGATAACTAACAACCTCCACCATGATTTATCAGATGATATTAGATGTCATATTTCATATCACTAATGAGGATAACTAACTCCACCATTATTTATCAGATGATATCAGATGTCATGCCATATCAGGTTCAGGAAAGTGTGACCTCCCTTATGACAGTGGAGGAGGTGGAGGAGGGGCTGGAGGTGTGTGACCAGAGATTCTGTGCCTGATGTCACGTCTGCATTTGCTCTTTAACTTCACACAATTGACCCTGACACTATTATTAGGTTATCATTCTGGCCCATATCCATTAAAGAAGTTGAACAAACGCCATCGTGGCATGGAGTCAAAGTGGAAGGACAGCTAGGACATGGTGGGACTGGAGAACGTCAGCGATAACAGCACTATCTGGAATCCTCGTTGCTTTTTTCACATTAGCACTTACAAGTCAGCCAAACCAAACAGTATCTTCTTTCCTCTTGGCAAATAAACAAACCGGCACATTGTTGTCAAGCTTTTGGGCCAGATTTTGATGTCAACTGATATGACCCTGACACTATTGTGGAACACGAAGCTATGAAACCATCTGGACTAGTTTGAGCGGTACTTTCAGAAAATATTTATAAAAGCAGAGTATGTTGAATTTTTTCTGTTTGTAAACATCACTAGCCGCGTCTCTTTCCTCTACAGTCTGCTGTCTTTTGAGACTATAGAAAAGCCAGTAGATAACCTAACAGGCTACAGGCTGAGCTCATACTACCCCCGCTGAGGTAAAAAACCAAACACAAATATACAACAAAACTTCAATTATATTTCATTGTGATACATTGTGAGACAAAACTTTCTGTCCAAAATTAAAGTGACTTACAGAATTACTAAGGTTCTAAAATTTTAATGTATATTATAAAGCTAATATTAGTCATATTGAGTAAAATGTTGGGCTCTTGGGGCATTATTTAAGTTTGTCCAGAAACAGTGGGTTAGCTGATGATCCTGCTGTGTTTTAAGGCGAGGAATGGGCAGCAGGTTCATTTGTGAGAAGAGAAAGCTCGACAGTTCGCAGGACGTGGAGCGGAACGTTTGGGTGTGTCTCTCTGGACGAGGACAAGATACCGTCTGCTGCACTGTCACGTCCACATGGATCACATGAGCATTAGGGCTGGTGGTAAACTGGCTGTCGACAATGGTTTCAAGTGGAGGCTATTTAAATTCGTCTCATTACATTTCATTGTTGAAATGTGTGTACAGGGAATTGATGCAGAGTGACTGTGAACGCTGACTCTAATTGGTGCAGGTCATGACTAAAAAGGAAATTGATTATAGTGATATAGTGACAACAAGGTTAAAAAAAAAACTTATTTTAGCTACTCTTTGAATGAGGTTTCTAGGTTTAAATTTAAAGCGAATCAAACGGTACTTGAGGAATTCCAAGCCTATTTACTTTATGTCCTTTTTATAAATTTTTCTAAAAATAAAAAATCAGGTCAGACCAATGAAGAGAGTTAAACAAATGAGATTTATTGGCAAAATATTCTACATTTGTAGACAGCACACAGTATGATCCAAGATCTTTATTAGGCAACACGTTTGTTCTACACAATCAACAAGAGTCGCAGTTAGACATTAATTTCAGAAATGTTATTGTTATGTGTAGCTGCTGATCTGTCATGGAGATCTAGGATTAATAGTAAGATTACTTCAGCAAAATCACGTGTGAATTATTAATTTCCTGCGTATGTGTTGATCCCTACACTGACCGCAGAGACGTAGGACTTAGTGGCCCAGTTCTTTGTAGTTTGCAGCCATGTCAGCAATAACAATACCCATGATGCTCCTCAGGGCCTCCTGTCCAGCTTGATCCAGCCCCGCCTTCTCAGCCATGACTTTAATCACAACTTCAGAAATAACCTAAAAAGAAACAAAAACGTTTTTGGTTGTTTTTGGTTTTTAAAAAAGGGGAAAGTTCAGATAATTTAAATTAAAATGTTCCTTTTTGTTCAACAATCTTACGTTGAAGTGTTCAATCGGAATCTTGTGAATTTTGGCATGGGTCTGGGACAGGGGTTTGAGGATTTTGGCGTGGTCTCCTCTTGCCTTCAGCAGCTCACCGAGCTTCTTCAGCACGGTGGCTCCATGTTCTGAAACCTGTTTGTTGCTGCTCAAATCGCTCTCTGCGATGCCAACAAATTTGGGAAACAGCTTCTGGGTTTCTGGTTTTTGCTTGAAGAGACTTAAAAAAAAGGAAAAACAGAGAATTGTTTTGTTCACTGTCACTGAGGACACAGATAACATTAAGGAAAGAGCTGGGTTCCAACTCAGGAAAAGTGTAATCTTATCATGTCTGAATCACTGACCGGGTCAGAACCATGTTCCCGTGGGTCTCTAAGTCCGCCTCCACCGCATCCCAACAACAGAGAACCTTCTCAAAGTCAGCCATGATCTGAAGGGATGACGAGAGTAGGAATAAAAACAACAACGACTGTGGGAGAAAACAGGGACAAAAAAAGCAATAGTTGAAAAAATAATTCATATAAAGTTTGTCAGGTCTAAATAAACAGTTTTATTTTGTTAAAGTAGCTTTGCTTTGCTTGCAGTTGCATTTGATTCTGTGGGCGAGCGCCCAAAAAACACTTCATTCAAGGTCATCTCGTAGACTGCGGTGAGGTCATGTCCTCGTTTGCACTCATTAGGTCTGTAGAGTGATGCCAATGTTCAAGTCTCGCACTCGACCTTTTTTTTAGCTATAGAAAACCTTAACATTCCTCTACATATCTTTCAATAATAACAACTGCGCTACAATAGTAAATATTATTGATTTGTAAATAAAAGGATTCTCATGATGAATTTGCAGCTCTCTGTGCAGCTGAGCATTTGTTGATTAAGAAAAGTAAATTAAAAAAAATAAAAAAGTTTTTTTTAATTATTCCACACCAATATTATTATTATCCTCAAAAACAAAACTGTAAGCGTAATGTCTTTCAGTGCAATGATTGGCTAGTTTTCTGTCAATCTTTTTTGTTATTCTGGTTAGTAAAGTAGTACGTACCTGCTGGGAAATATCCTATTTGATATCACTGTATATAAAACTCCTCTTAGCCTGACTTGCCCCCGACCAACAGCTGACCTTTTATACTCCCTCCTTCTGTCTGTCAAACAATACTGCAGCCCTCCCATCCGACTACCTTCCTCGCTGCACGTCTCTTTCGCTCCATCTTCTATCTGGAAACTTGAGATTTCCACCAAAATGTCGTCCATTATCATCGAGGCACTTGGGGCATCTCTATTTTCTGTTTGGTTTCTTTGTGCTAACTTTTCTCTGAGCTCATGCTATTATGTTCACCCTAGAAAGATCTCATTTACCTCAAAGAGACACACACTCTCTGTGCTTTTGTATGTGGGTGTGTGTGTGAGTCAGTGTATTTTTTTTTCTCTTTTTGTTGTTCTTTTTGTTTAAATTTCACCTGGTCAGGACAGACGCCTCATGAGACAGAACCTCAGTTCTGGCTCTCTGGTTAAAATTCAGAGGAACATTTGAATTGTTTTTGGCAACATGGCTGTTTGATAGACAGCTGCGTTTCACTGGTATGCAGAGCTCTGCAGAGGGAGGTAAAAACGACCTCGTCTATCAGCAGGTCAGAGTTGCCAACCATTCATAACCTCTGCAGTCAGTGCTGCAGGAAGAATAGAATCCTCAGTGACCCCAGTAACTCCTCATTCAGACTCCTCACTCTTTTTTACAATTTTTATTGTAATAAATATAATGGGGCCATGAAGAAGTTATTCTTTGAGCTCACAGTAAAATCACTGGTTTGAGTTGGGATTGGAACCAGCTCCTGTGTGTCACTTAAAAAAGCAGTAGAATTTTGTTGCATCAAGTAAAACATAAAAACAAATAATATAAAAGAATAAATAAATTAACATCTTCATTATGACACACAGTCTAAGAGTTTAGCTTTTGTATTCCAGACACGGTGGTTCTGTAAAATAATTAACGATTAAAGATTTTGACATAAAACTGACAACATTCCACTGACCACCGCGCCCTCTGCCGGTCAACCGTTATGACAACAGCAAGTTAAAAGCCGGGATTAACGTCATTGGTTCAAGATCGGCGTCCACTAGAGCTACCAATTTTTCTGTCTGGTGAGACACTGTAGTCTGAACTCAAGCTTTTTGTGCATCTGTGTCAGTGATAACAGTCCTGTTCCTCAGGGCCTGCTGCCCTACTAAAACTAAAGTCAGTCTGAAGGGAAATAACATATGGACAGAAAAGGTCAAGCTCACCGAGAATCTTTCTAAAAGCCACAATATGTCTTGAATTGTTGACTCACATAGAACAATCTCTGCTTGAAGCCATAAGGACTTGTGTTTGGTGGCATGGCTGTCGAGCAGAGGTGAGAAGAGACAATGTTGTTGCCTTTGGCCTTGAACAGCTCACCAGGTTTTCAAGGTGCTGCAGTTCTCTGGGTAGGATTTCTTTCATCACTCCTCAGCTCCCTCTGAGGGATGTCAGCAAACTTTAGGAACTTTTTTTTTTACACTGGAGCTATGGCTTAGTTGGTTAAAGCGCCTGTCTAGTAAACAGGAGTGTAGCAGTGCCTTTATTGGGGTCTAAGTAGAATTCCTGCCCCTGTTTTTCCTTCCAGTGGTGGCTTGGTGGTTAAGGAAGCAGACTTGGGTTTCAGGTTCGAGTCCACCAGCTGCCAGGTTACCACAGAGGTGCTCTGAGCATGGTACCGTCCCCACACACTGCTCCCCGTCCCCTTAGAGCTGCCCACTGTTCACTTTAGTGATGGGTTAAAAGCAGAGGTGACATTTGGTTGTGTGCAGTGGTGAGCTGTGTCACATTGACAAGTAGTTCACTTTCCTTTATGCTCTCTGAGTAAACTGTAAAAAAAAAAAGATGTTTTCTCATCACTAAGTTTTGAAGTTGAAATATTCTTTTAAAAAGTTAGGATGTATGTTTCTGGATGAATTATTCATCCTGTAGTCCTGCTGATGAGACATTAGGGTTTGAAGCCCGACTCATGATGATGACCATCACTCTTCCCAAGGCCTGCTGGCCAGCTGGATACATTTTTCCCCATGACCTTAAAGATGATTTCAGCCATCAGCTGTCAAGAAAGGAGAGCACTCGGAATAATTTAAAAAGACTTTGGAGGACACCTTGCAAATTGGAGCAAAAGGTGTTGCTTTTAGGCTCAGGGATCAGACTGAAGTAAAACAGCAACGTCACCTTGAAATGATCAGTTTGGACTTTGTGCTTGGCATGGACGTCTGCCATAAGTTTGATGGTGCTCCTGTGATGGCCTTCAGCAATTCTCCAAGTTTCCTCAGTGCAGTGGCACCTTGGGCAGACATTTTTCATTTCTGCTAAGCTCGCTCTGGGAAACAGCTTCTGGGTGTTTGGGTGTCCTGTAAATAAACCATTCCATAAATTTTTTTAAAAAAAACTTACAGAAAAATAATTCAGGTTCAAAAAGTGTTTTACCTCAGGGAATTTCTTTATTTGTTTTAAAGGCACTGACCGTGTAAAAACAAGGCTCCTCTACTGGACCTATTGGAAAAATATAACATGGGTCAACGATTATATATGTATATATGTATGTGTGCGCATCAACCTTTGCTTTTCTATAAAAAAAACAAAAACTACTATTCCTGTGTTTTTTAATTTTATTTGAATTTTCTCTGCCAAACATAAATGCATTCAAAGTCACCACTGCTGAAGGTAAACCTGTGATGTCATCTGTTGGTTTTGAACCTACAAACGTTTCTCTTCTTGGCAGATAAAGCTCTTCTCCCTCTGATCACTGTTTCATGTTCTATTTTTAACTTGCAGTAAATACAACATCTTTCTAAATTCGGTAACTTTGATCATTTTGACAGGGATTTACATTATTAATTTAGAATATAAACTCCAACCAATTTCTGTAGGGGTTTGTTTTCTGTGTGTAACAAAAATAATGTATAAATGATGTAAACATGTATATGTAAAGTAATAATAAATTTAAAAAAAATGTTTATGAAACCAAACAAAAAAGATGAGACTCCACTCAAATCAGCATTACTCTTATAAAATATAATATAAATATTATATATTTTATAATATAAATACAATAAATTTTATTTTATTTTATTTTATTTTATTTTATGTAAAATATTAAAACAGTATTCCCTCTCTGTTGCTCGTATATTATTTAAGTTTGTTTATACGTTCTGACCTGTAGGACCAACTTTCGTCACTGGGTAGCAGCACCGTGCACAAGGCGCAACCGGCCTGCTTTGGTCAATAGGAGAAGAAGCGGCAGTTTAGGATACAGGGAAAGACATTTCACTCCCTGTCACGAAACTGTTACAGTACAACAGTACAACAGCACAACAGTACAAGTTGTGTTAATTCGGTATGATGCAGGCTCTGAAAGGCGTCAGGTATCTGAGCTCCAGCTCAGTGAAACAGGCGGGTGAGCGGACGAGTCACACTGACCACACAGCTGAGCACATAGCTGAACACAACCTTTTCCCCACTTCCCCACACTGAAGTTAGAAAATATCCACTGTTTTAGCATAGAAAGACTGTACGACGTGGATGAAATAGTATGTTCGACATCTTTTAAACTTTGGACGATGTGATATTTTACCAGTACAGAATAGCTGTTCTTGTTATAATTGTTGAATGGTTGGTTTTTCATTCAAACGGTGTAACTGACGTCATTTCAGGTTATTTCCATGTTCTTATCACGTTGTTTATATTATAATGTCGTTAATATTGCTATTATAACCTATCCTGTTGCTATACTGTAATGTAATTATATGTCCGTGTTGCACACGTTTTTAAATGTTATACTACAATATATTATCTTGTAAATCCCTGTTTCTTGCACCTTAAATGTTACTTCAGTGTCGGAACTCACTATCCCAGTGCCGTGGGGCGTCATACGAGGTCTTGCCTGGGGTCCTGACCACGGTCGTCCTGTGTTATGTCTTCATGGCTGGGCTGATAACTGTGGCACGTTCAAGACCCTGGTTCCACTACTGCCCAAAGGTATTTCAGTACAGTATATGCATATTTGGACACTCGATTACAGCCACATTTTAATGGTGTTTAAAGCGTGCGTTGGATAAACACTTGTTACTCATTTGAAAGGACGCCGTCCACGGAATTTATATTAATCTTTTAAATGATTGTTCTTCTAGACTATTAAATAATGTTTTAGGTTTCAATCCTCCTGTCTCCTCCATCCTCTGTCTGTTTCTCAGAGTGCAGGTACGTGGCCTTTGACCTTCCAGGTCATGGGCGGTCATCACATCGTCCTCCTGGAGAGTTCTACATTTTTCCTTCATATGTGATGGACGTACACAGAGTCACTGACGGTATGGGAGTTCTATTCGACTGTCCAACATTGTATTCTCTTACACAGTCGAACAAGTCTAGACTTAAATACTGCAACCTTGCCTGTGACACAACAAAACACAAATAAATACCCACTAAAAAAAAGTAAACATTTATTTGTCCAGCACCACGTATCAGCACAGAATAATTAACTGTATATTCTGAATCTGTAGAGTAGAAGCCGGAGAACGTCTGTGGCAGAGTTGTTGTGTTTTCAGTCTGAAACAGTCACATTGTTCTGTAATGAGATAGAGAACCTGGTTGATGGTCTGTGAAATGACTCCCACAGCTCTGCAGTGGAGCAAATTCTCCATCATAGGCCACAGTATGGGTGAGTGCATCCATGCAGCAGATTCACATGCAGACATTTGATTTCAGCCTTATATTTACTGCCTGTTTGACTTTATTTAGGTGGTAATATCGCTGGAATGGTAAGTGTCAGTTTAGAACTGTTTTTACATAACGCACCCCGGCCGTGTTGTTTTATCACATCCCATCTTTAATAGTGTTTGTTCTCCACAGTTCAGCGCTCTGTATCCTGAGAAGGTGGATGCTCTTGTACTGCTGGACTCATATGGATTTCTACCTACAGACGTGGTACGTTGACAAAGTTATATGCACACATTACGTTTATAGACGTATAGATTATCACTGTCATCATTTATTCAAAACCAAAACCTTCAAAAAACAGTTTTAAAGGTTGTGCCAAAATACAAAACCTGAAGCACATTTTATATTCATAACAAAGAGCAATATAGAACTAGACTATAAACTTTCAGTAAAAACTCCAGGGATTTTATTGTTTTTTTTTTCCCTGTGAGTTTTTTTCCCTGAAATCAAAAAAGAAAAAGCTTAGGTTTAGGTGTCAAGGATTTCACGAGAAGTTGTTCTAAAGATGAAGAGACATATAAAATATAATAAATATATGAGACACTTTATATGAACTGAAAACACTGTTGTTCTTCTCCAGTCTCTAGTCACTGCACAACAATAATCCTGTAGAAAGTGCGATGATAAGTCTGAAATCTGTCCTCAGTGACGGATCAATGGCAGAGTGATGAACTGCTCTGAGAGACTCACAGGTGGAGGCTGAACGGTGCATATCAATGAAGCTCCCACTGGGAAGTACAAATAAAAGTGTTGATAGAACTAACCTTTTTTTTTTATGGTACTGATGATGGAGTGTTGATAGAACTAACCTTTTTTTTTATGGTACTGAAAGTTTTCAGTTAGTTCGATTTTCCAGTTCAGATCTGTGCAGCTGATGGTGTTTTGCTCGAGGTAGATTTAGTTTCACAGTGAAAATGTTTGCAGAGTGTGTTGTTGCACGTATATTTTTAAAAAGTATTTATTATCATATATTTTGTTTAATTTTCTAATACTCCCATAGAACAGTGGTTCTCAAACTGTGGTACGCTCTCTAGTGGTACGTGGGGAAAATTCATATTTTCACATTTACATTTTCAGTTGAATAAATTTGAAACATACCGTCCACAATTAATACAACATTTAGAAAAAATGTGTAGCTTCTTGTGAGATTATGAAATAGGATGTCTGGACTTTTTATTTACTTACTTGTTTTTTTGCTGCAATGCAATGTCTGTTGCACACGGAAGCACAGTCCCTTGATGATTTTCTACAACAGTATTTATAGATATTGTAAAAAAGAAAGTGGTCAGCGAACAGTTCCTTGTGGGATACCCGAAAATGTAAGATATATAAAACTCTAATGTATAATGTATTACCAGTGTTATATACAGTATGTTTAGTGACCAGGGCACTTAAAGTGCATATATTTTGAAGTTATTATTTTTTAAATGTTCATATAAATACTACTATTTTATTTTTTTCAGCCAGTTTGATCAAAACCAACCAGATTTGCTTTTGTTTTGAATAAAACTGGACTAAAATGCCCTGTTCACACACAGTTTAAATTATAATCTCCACTCAACCCGGGGCTTCTAATTCATGTCATGTTTCATCGCTCTTCTGATAGAAAAAATTTCCCACAATAATGAGAACTGGGATGGAGCAGATGCTCGAGTTTGAGAAGATGAAAGACGAGAAAGAAAGAAAAGTTTACACGTATGAGAAAGCAGCCTCCAGGTAAAACACTTTCCCATGTTTTAATAAAATAAAAAAATAAATCACTGCACTCCTCGCCCATGTTTTTTTTTTTTAAAAAAAAACTTTTTCTTTTACCTGTCTAAGGCTTTCAGCTGCAAACCCAGCTCTGTCAGAGCGCTCTGTGCAGATCCTTTTAGAGCGAGGTTTAGTTCCTGTTGACGGAGGTAAGACGCCTTTATCTCCTCTTTGATGTTTCTTACGGTTGCTCTTTTTTTTCAGACAGCAACAATTTTAACTCCTCTTTTCATGCTGACAATATTCCTGTCGTTCTCACGCAGGTGTTGCGTTCACCCGAGACATCCGCATTAACCTGGTAGGTAACTGTCAGACGACGCCAGCACATCACTCCGTCCTCATCTGTTGTTGAAGGTCAGGTACCACAGGCACCTCACGGTGCTGTTATTTATTTATTTATTATTATTTATTTCAGAAGAACATAGTGCGCGCCACACTTGAACTATGTCTGGACATGCAGTCGAGGATAAAAGCTTCCGGTCTAATTGTTCTGTGAGACGATCCTTCACTTCACACATGAAAGTTCAACACAACACTGAAGCCAACTATATTTAGCCGCGTTATCTTTTGTTTTTGTTTTAACAGAGCACAAGACGGCTTTGAGAAGATGTTTGCAGAAGACGAACAAAAGAAGTTTGTCTCAGCACTGGAGCGGGCCTACAGGGACAGAAATGTGAGTGTATTTTTGGGGAGGAAAGAAAAGTTGGTGCACTTGCCTCTATGAGCCTATTTTTAGCTCCTAAACCTGTGTGTGTGTGTAATTGTGCTTGGCAGACAGCTGCAGAGGTGCAAACGTAGCAGCCTGGTAGGAGCTCAGTGTCTCAGAGGCAGGATACACTTTTATAGCCGTGAACCTCGGTGCCGACCTACATACACGGTCAAGTGCTGATTAGCTCGTATTGGCATGTGAAGATAGTGATGAAAGAGGGCATATATTTCTCAATTTAAATAAAAAAAATTTTTAACTTGTCAAATGGAAAGAGGGCATATATTTCTCAATTTAATTTAATTTTTTTTAAACTTGTAAGTACTGGCTCACATCCAGAGCTGCAGTGAGGAACACGCCTAGAAAAGGAAATTAAAGCCTAGTCCAAAGAGGAAAATAGAATGTACACCTGCTCGTCTAAAAATGTTTTAGCTAACTTTAACACAGAAATCTTTTAGTCGGAGAACGCTGTGATTTCTACACAGCTCATTTGCATGATGTTTCTGCCTGCTTTTTCACAAAATCAGAGGACTTCTGCCTCAATGCCATGTGGTAAACACTCAAAGAAGTCACCAACCAAATGTCCTGTTGAATCGATGAGCAGAACTGTTGAACGAGCAGACAGCAGTGGGAACTGATTCTCTACGTGAACTGGTTCTTGATTCCCTTCCTAAACTAGCATGCTGAAAAGTTAGCATGACATATAAGATTATGGCTTCGTTCTTATCGAATAGATACTGGTGTTATGTATGATGAGGCCACGTGGCTCCAGAGCCACAGGTTGCTGACCACTGTCTTAGGACTTTTTGACTTGCGACGCTCTGTTGCACTGCCTTGTGATTTTCTTGTTCATTTCGTCTCATTTCTCTGTGACTTTCAGCACAAAGTGGTGAGGATACAAGGTGATCATCACATCCACTTGAATAAGCCTGAAGTCGTAGCTCCCCTGGTGTCGGAGTTCCTGGAGAGCACAGTGTTGTCGCAGTCAGGAGCACAGACAGACGACTCCACCTCTAAGTTATAGTTGACGTGAAGACACTCTTAAATGATCTTTAAAACATTGCTGTAACATGGGTTTTTCTTTATTCAGGAAATGAATCTAGCTGTTGTCCACCTCCATCTGTGTTCATATCCTGAAAACAGGAATTACAAACAGACAGGTTTTCAGCAGTTTTTATACATTCAACATTATAATAACGTAGGGATGTAAGTAATCCTAAATTTGTTTTAATCTAAAAACTACAGGTCTGGTCTGGTCATTTGAATAAAATAACACCTGCTCAGAAACACACTCTTAACCTCAACAGTTACTATCATGAAAACACCAACATTTTGTTTTTACCTGCTGTGATGTCTTGAAGTCTAAATCTTTCTCACCACATATTTCTGTCTAATAACATTATCAAGTTGATCTGAAGTAACTAAAAAAACAACGATCATGTTCTAGCAACTTAATTATGTTAATTTTATTATTTATTGTTAATAATTCCTAGACAAATTATTGTCCTGGAAGATACCAGAGAACCTTATTAATAAATGTAATATTTCCTTCCTTATTTTTCTGCTGACTTTTTCATTTCCTGCTTCTTGCCTTGATACTGCGTTGTACAGTATATAAGATGTACAGTCTGGTCTACAACAGTAACTTTGTCCTGGGAATGTAACCTACTGTAAATATTGACATGCTGTCAAGAAAGACACGGTTCAGCTCTGCAGGAGTCATTGTTGCCTTTGTACCTTTAATAGAATAGAAGAATAGGATCGTCTTTATTGTCGTTGTAACACAGAGATGCTCCCACAGAAGATTGGTCATTTCTCAGAATATAAATATACATATATATATAATTTTTTTAAATTGTTTTATATCTTTTTATGTCTACTAATTTTACCAAGAAACAGAGAGACGACCACATGTTCATTTTTATCTTACAGTCTTTGACCAATGACAGTAGTGGTTATATTCTGTTTTATTCTATTCTATTCTTATGCTTCTTTTACGGCTAAATTATTTGTGTGATGAATCCCAACCATTATCGGTGGGTGGGTACTGTACTGTACACCCAGTTCATCATCGGTGATATTGAGACAGAAGACCATTTGCGCTGTGTGATTTTCCAATTAACTTGACAAAGGCTACATCCCATAATAAATGATTGAATATGACAGAAGCAGTTAAAACGGATCACACAATTCTGTTTTCATTAACGCACTCTGCCGTTTCTACAAACTCATTTCCAGATGCTTCTGGTTCTCCTTTGGCAGGAGATGTTAGGAGGAGGAGCAGCAGGTCAACATTTGTCCTCAACACGTGTCTAAAACTGTGGCCTACACACAGAGAGAAGCCATTCTGACTGCTGGTTCTCATTCTTCCTTTCATTCCCCACAGCTCATAACCATCGGTGGGAATCAGGATCTCATTAAGACTTGTAAATTGAGAACTTTGCCTTGAAGCGAGAAACAAAACCCAAACTGCTGTCTGATTGGTACAGAGTCAGGTGTGCAGCTGTAGAAAAAAGGAGCTCAGCGTCGTTCTCCCCGTAGATTATTAAATCTCCATACCGCTGTGGAAATATTACGTTTTAGGAATTCTGTTTATCACATAATGCTTGTTTTATGCACTGCTGATGGTCGGCTTATCCATTACCAGTGTGTATGCAGAAACATCCAGGTGCAGAATGGCAATAAAAGTAATTATTCTTTTTTTTTTTAAACAAACATTCAGCATCTTTTTGATGCTGTCATTTTAAGTCTAAGAGTCACAAGAATCATTGAGTTTTTGTGTTTTGCTCTTTTTTTACAGAAAATGTTGCATCTTTTTGCAGAAAGAAAACTCAAAAGACTCTTCAGGATTTGCATTCAAGATACAGCAGGTATTTCAGTCTGAAACAGCTGATGTAATACTCTTAGAAAGAACTGACTGGTAGTATTTACTGTGTGTACGACACACATCTGCTGGGATTACTTTACCTCCAGGTAGTTTCTGCGCTGTCCACTAATTGTTTGATTTATGGTCTTTATGAAAGAGCTCCGATAACGCGGCGGTGCTCGGCTGCTCATAACCTCTTATTCCTGGAACTTTTTACACATTTTCTGTGTGTGTGTGTGTAGCTCTGTGAGCACCGAGGTGCTGATGGTGCAGGAGTGCATCAAGCTGCAGGACATCTTTTGCTGTTAGTTCCACTCACTTGTCTCTGCAGCGATAGCTTCTCTTTGTGCGAGGCAAACAAATGCCGTTGTAAAGGCAATGAGAACAACGGCGTTTCATTAGAGGAGATGTTCCTGTGGAACCGTTCCCTCAGGTCTGCAGTAGACAGAAAGTCACACACACTCTGCAGACCACTTCCAATGACACTGCACTTTAACATTTTCACAGTAGAGTACATAACCACGAGTCCCTGTACCAGCAGCTGTAATAGCCCAGAGTGTCGTATTTGTCACAAAGTTTCCACTGAACCACTGCGTTGTTATCTCTCATCACTTTATTGAACTTTTTGGGACTGTGTACTCATACAAAAACAAGCTGTAGGTAGCTCTTTCTCTTTACTGCCCTGATGTTGCTGTGAGCACAGTTTGAATGTTGTCTCCCATATGATGAGAGACGTGTGTATGTTTAATTACTCTAGTGTAATTATTTAGTAATAACAGTTGTGATTCAGTGGATGACTTCTTGTCAGTCGCAGCAGAACAGGCTGAGGTGATGATGCGCTGTCCATGGTACTGTACTGTACTGTACTGTACCTTACCATACCATACCATATCACACCACACCACACCATACTATACCATTTCTTTGGTATGTCAGTTCCACCTCCACCCACATACATTGTTCGATACATTTACTGTCTCAACACACCAAATAAGGATTCGGTATCTTTATAGCTTTTGTTGTTACTTAGTTGATGATAAGGGTAAAGTTTGATGCAGTATTGCTCTGTAATTCAGTTGTCACGTCAATACTCAATTACTGTCAATAGATTACTTCATCTTCTCGCTGTCTCGTCCAGATTGAGTGACAAACAAAAAAAAACATTGTACTGCACTACAGTGTTCTTCTTTGACTCCTAACAATTTTCTCGTTTTCATATTTCATTCAGACTCTTGGCTGCAAAGCCTGTCTGGACTTAAACAGTCTGGGCACATCCCGTTCAAACAAAGTCTCGGCAATGTGCCGGAGGTAGGAGTCTACCTTTTCTCCTTCTCCTACAAGGAAATAATCTCACTTTGATTCTCTTCATCTGCAGGCGACTAAATGTGTTTCTCTGCAGCAGGGTGTGTGTGTGTGTGTGTGTGTGTGTGTGTATCTCCAGAGATGTGTGAGTTAAGTTTGTGAGTCACTTCAACCTCCCGGAGGCTCTTCCTCATCCTTATTTCCCCCAAAACAGCATTCAGCTGGTACCGCATGAATGTTTCATATTTTAATATTAGGATAACCTTGTACTGAACTCTTCAGAGCACCGCGTAGAGATGCTGCCTTCAGCCCCAGCCCCAATTATTTGGAAAGAAACTGGGTCTTTTTGACATAGATCTAAGCTTTGCCATATCAATTTATAATACCGTAACCCTGTTTACTGCGTCATTTCTGATCTCTCACTGCAAGAAAAACTACGTGGAAAAAAACTCTTTATTTAGTAAAATATATAAACTTAAATATTGTAAGTAATATTTAAGTCCAAACTCCTCAAGAATCCAGAATCTGTGATTGTCTGTTATGTTTGACGGTTTCAGACGGTGACTCTTGTTCTTGATTAATAAGACAAATAAAAAAAAAAGGATGAAAAGCCAATATATCTGTTTTGTTTTGTTCACACTTGTCGTCTCTTGGTATTCACACCTTCTGCAAGTGTTTCCGCCATAGAATAATTACAGTGGAAACTGTCAAAGCTGACGAAGACTCCTGAGAGATGTGTCTCAGTGTGTATAAAGTACTAAACTCAGATACTTTAGCACATCTGTCCTGGAACCTTTGGACTTACTCCCATAGATAATTATAAATATATGCTAACAGCTCTGTATATAGACGTATATAAATGCTAACAGTGATATATTCACATGTCGTTATACAAAATCAATCACCTGCAGTAACTAATGATAAAAAAATAAATTAAAGTACTCTGCCTGCGACACAGACGTTGAGCCTGACTGCTCCACCGTTACAGACAGACGTCTAATCGCAGCCTCGCTAATTAAGTTGCGCTTGGATTAAGATGTTATTTATGAAGTATTCCCCGTCCCCATCATTATCTCATTTCATCAATATCAACAGATCACTCTGGACTCAGCTGTAAAACAAACTCCAAATCCACGTCTTTCCGTTTTGTCATAATTTAGTTTTTTGTGGAACAATCGTCCACAGCTGAATCTCACACATACGTCGTAGTAAAGTCTTCCACTTCTCTCATTCACATCCAGGCGCTTGACTCACAGTCCAGGTGACTGTACTCTATTTTTTATGCTTTTCTAAAAATTCTCACAGCAGTTCTTTCTATAGTAGGCAGAGACTGTTCTTGCCCTAACCTTAACCATTACAAATAAATGCTCAATCTTAAACGTTTACCCTAACCCAAACCCAACCCTAATCCTAATCCTAATCCTAATCCTAATCCTAACTCTAATGATTAAATCTTCAACATCAAAATACCCTCATCCTTGTTAAGGACTGGAAAAAGGACAAAGGGTCCCCACAGGTATAGCTATACCCTGAACCTGAATGCTGTTGCTGTACTGTTCTCAGGCTCAGACACTTGTTACCGTAACACCATGCTGTTCTCTCCCTGCAGATATGTTACTGTTTCAGCACTAATGGCAATATTTAACCTGTGATTCTCCGCTGAGCTCAATCATGGATTATTGCACCAAACACAGTGTGAGCAGAGGAATGTTCTCTTCAGCATGCTGACGGTTTAACTGCACCGACAGCATCAATGGTCTGCACTCATTCATCTTCTTCTTCGTCAGGTCCATTTTATGTCCAACATGTCCACTCTCTCAGCCTCGTCTCTCTGACTTTGTTTTCAACACAGTTTATCTGCAAACCTTTGTCTTCAGCCTTAGTCGGTGAACAAGTAAAATTTCAGCATCTTTTTCAAAAATGTGAATCCATATCATTTGATGACAGTTATGATGCTTTGATTTTTGACCCTATATATGGACGGTTTTCTTTTGTTCGATATATATGTCCAAAAAATGCATTAATCTTGACTCTGTCACCACAGAATGAATTCACAGCAGTTTTCGTGCTGCTGTCTTTTTTCATCTTCCATTATTCCGTCCCGTCTCCTCCCTCTGCATCACCTCTTTTGTTTACTGAAATGTTAAACTCCTCTGTCTTCACTACCTCTACTCCTTTGACCCCCACCTTTAGAACGTGCCTATTATTTTTTGTGTGTGTGTCTTGTTCCTACTGTCTGTCCTAATGTCTTCAGCCTTTGTTCCGTCTGCTCTGACTTTCACCACTAATTGGAATGTCATCTGCGAACGAGATCATCTGTGGCCCCTCCTGTCTCTCCTGATCTGTCAGCCCATCAAAGAGCTCAAAGCTGACGCCTGATGTAACCCCAACGCTACCTTGAACCCATCTGTCACTCTGATTGCGCACTTCTCCACTTGTCTTCTTTTCTTGCCCCCTGTCGTCTGAATCTGTTGCTTGTCATGAAGCTGGACCTCGGCTCCGTGGTGAAAACCTGATGAGGTTTGGACAGATTTTCACCTTCATTTATGAAATGGACTTTGCTAAGCTTTACTGCTTTTCACAAATCCACTACCTACACACAGAGCTGAAAAGACTGCAGCGACTTCAACAACAGTCTGAATATTTTTCACAATGTAGGTCATCATCTCCGTGTTTCTCTTTTGTCTCAGAATCAGCGGGAAAGAGGACAAAACAAAAGGACAAAAACTAAAAGGAGTGACTCCATCAATCCGGCGTCAGACTCAACAGATTTGAGTGGCGCTCCTCAAATAAAAATGGACCCTCCTGTCTCTCAATGTCACATAAACCGCGTGATGGCCTCAGTGTTAAATGGAGCAGAATTGATTTCACGCAGCAGGCGGCGAGCATCCAGAGACATCTGAGGGGTTGTTCGCCACCACCTCCTTCCTTCAACTCACCCTCCACCCCCCAAAAAATGATGATAGTTATATAAGTTTTCCCTCCCACTCCCTCCACTCCCTCAGCCATCACCGTTGTCATGGCAACCTCCCACCCCTCCTATGAACGTCAGAGGCAAAAGCTGGAGGATGAGGCTGCATGCAGTCTCTGCTGCCTCTCACACAACACCTGTGATTTTTACCGCAACACATGCAACAGTGGCATCTGCGGCGCTGGAAACAATCCCATGGTTGTTTTGACTCCTCACTGCTGGGCATCGCTTACCATCTTCCATCTCCCGCAGTAAGACTTAACTAAATCAGCAGCTTCCACAGGTAAGCACAATAATACTACTGGGTTTTCTTCCGGAATTAAATTCTTCTGTTATTGTTCAGTCCGGTGCAAGTACAACTCCAGCACAATAACACCAGTGACGCCGTTATGTATTTTTCTTTTGTCTTGAATTTGCGGTAATGAGGACAGAGCTGAAAGCTTTTAGAGAAATTTCTGCAAAAATGTGATACTGAGATGCTGCTGTTTCTCAAACACAGCACTTCAACTCAGGGAAGGAGCGTTTGCAAAGACGATTTTAAACAAATACAACTCTCTCTCCACACCTTCTCTCCACACCTACCTGTCTACTCATCCATAGTCTCCCGTCCTTTCTTCCTCCTTCCTCCCCATCACTCTGCTCTGACAGCAGCTATGTCGTGGCTGTTCTTGGACTGGTTTGTCCCCCTCTACCTGCTGGTCTCGGTGCTGGTGCTGGCAGGCTTCGGTGCATGCCTGTACTTCCTAGAGCCCGGGCTGCAGGATGCCCACAAGTGGAGCAACAAAACAATCCGGCATCACCCGCTGGTGGCCAGCGTGAACTGCAGAGACGACGATTGCAATGCCCTGATATGATCAAGAGGGCGACAGGAGGCGGCGACCCCTCTGGACAGAGGTGCTGCCAGGACACTGGAGGGATGGGGGACCAACACCTTTAAAGGGGGACAAGTAAAGAGAGGAGACACCGGATCTGAAAATGCAATCCCTATCCTATCATTCCAATTTTTTTATGGTCTCGAGACATTAGGAGGAAACGGAAGCAGTAATGAGTTTTTAAGTCAATGCACAGAGAAAAGGAGAGAGGGAGAAAAAGACGAGTGTGAATGAAGAAAACAATGCCCTTTAGAATCGTGTTTGAAACCCAGTGTAAATGTCATGCCTTCTTATACTCATGCCAAATTTTACATACATTTTGTAATTTGACAATCACATACGTATTCCCCAGTTTACCTGTAACGTGATTTAATTTAGTGAAGTGCAACAAGAAAGGAGTTTTTTTTTAATAATCTGTGATGACGTGGACATGACAGCTGCTGAGGAGCAGGTGGGTCATCTGTGCCACTGTGCCAAAATAGTGTAGTAGTGACTTTATTAACACAACATGTACTGAGTAAAAGCACTGACATATTCTACGTGCCAAGATTATACCAGGTGGACCAAGACTACACACAGTCTGTGTTTGGCAATGCACTAAGTGTAGTGTTTGTTTATATTTGACAGCATGGTGGAGTATCTGGGTGTGAACCCGCCTTTTTTTAATGACCATATGCTTTCTTTTGTTCATACAAAAATAAAACTCACTCTGTAAACCTTCATTTCTTTGTTTTACTTTGTGGGCTTCATATACGTAGTAACAGTATTGAAGTATTGAATTGAAACTCTTCTTTACAGGAGGTTCAAATGGTTTGTGATGTATTTTGACTTTCAGAGTGGTTTCTAGGTTAGCCTAGTAAATTTGATGACTTCTGGACGTTCTAGGTTTAGTTTGATTGATTTGAAAAAGTATATACCGTATTTTCCGAACTATAGGTCGCACTTCATCCTTTGGCTAGGTTTGCGACTTGTATGTGTACTAAAACCTGCTACTCCTGTACTACTGAAAATGTACATGTCCGTTATTTTCCCACTGACAGCCGCTAGAGGGCACTGGTGCGACTTATACTCCGGAGCGACTTATATATGGGTTTTTTTCTTCTTCATTATGCATTTTTTGGCTGGTGTGACTAAAAGCAACTTTGTGGTAATTATTGTGACCACTGAGATGCTATTTATATAATATGTAATAATCTGTAATCTCTTAATCCAGTGTTTCCTAATCCTTTTTTGAGCTATGGTATATATTTTATATTATAAAAAGTACATTGCACACCATCAAACAAAAATGTTACAAAAATATATCAAATGAAATATAAAGATCTTCTAATTTCAATTCACTCAACAGTATAAAACCCGTGTAGGCCCATTTATTGAACACCACCTTAATGTACTGGCAGGAATTGAAGAAAGACACCCAAATGTTTTTTATAGCCATCTGCTGCCACCTAGTGGAAGAGTGTTTCATTGTTCTGCCTGGCACAGTTGCATAGACAAACAAAGACAAATTATTTGCAGCACATAAATCATTGCTTCACTACACTGAATACTTTCAAACTAAAAACAAATGTCGTATAATATTTGATGTGGATTTTCAGGAACAATTCAAATCTCAACAGAAAACTACATTTCTTGTTACTTATGAAGCAGTTGGTGCGACAGCAAATGTAAAACATGTTGATGCACGTTGGAGCTGTGCAGTAATCAGACATCAGAACACATTGGGACTTCACAGACAGTGTGTGAAGAACTTCATAGAAGTGAGTGTCCAGTGTGGGAGTGGAACAGTGGAGCCTCTGTGCTGAGGAATGGAGAGAATGACACTTCAGTGCCCGCCACTTCCTACTGCTGTACTCTTTGTCTCGCTGTCTCTCAGACGCAGGCTCTCAACCACAACAACACGTCCTCAGGAGACAGGTATGTGTGTGTTCTCCGTCCTCCTTCACTGTTTGTGGAAATGTCTTTTATTTAATGAACTAAATGGAGGCTGTGCTCATTGGTCGTAGTGTTTTAGAAGAAGTATTTTTAAGCTCTGAGACTCGGAATTTATTGTTCAGATGGATTCTCTGGTCACTTACATATAATTATATTTGTTCCTTTTTTAAAAAAAGAATGGATATAGAGAAAAAACTACTCAGCAGAGAAGTCAATTAAATTCACTCCATTTTCAGCAGCTTTGGGGATTTGCTCTTTACAAATGTAACACTCCGGGCACTTTACACCTGTGTACTTATTCTGAAAATAGATTCTGAGGTAATAATAGGATTTTGGGGATGTCTTTTGATTACATAGTTGGACTGTTGATGATGTGAAACGCTCACCCATGTCCTTGAGACGATATCAGTGGTTTATTTGACTGATGTTTGCCTTTTCCAAAACAGGATGAGTGCTTTTAACCGCCTGGAACCTTCGGTGCCTACAGCACCTCCATCCTCCAAACATACAGGGGAGCATCGATCAGTCTGTCTGTCACCTCCTCTCTCGCTCTCCTCCCCAGTTATTAAAAAGAAACCAATCCAAATTCCATCATTTGATGAGAAGGGACTCATCCATGAAAAACACAATACACTGCAGAAAACCACTGGGAGGTAAATGATTTACAGCCTGATATTCAGTAATAACATGAGTAAGTCGAATTCCACCTGCGTTTCATAAATGTTCCTTTTTTCTTTTGGCTTCAGATCGTTTGTTCCTATTTCCTCTTCAAAGACGTCGGGTCAGCCTTCCTGGGGTAAATCATTTCAGCCATCACAGAGAACTCACGGAGAACGAGCATCAACTCTCCCAAGAACCAAAACTCAAACCCAGCGCAGCTCTCCAACTTTCTCTGAAAAGCCCTGCATCTCTATTTTTGCTGCTCCGAAGCCAAATTCCACCCTGAAGCCGAGTGATTCTCTTTATCTCTCTACTCCACATTTGAGTCATTTTTCTCCACTGCAGCATCAGCTTCAGCCCATGCCGCGTGTGTCTCCGACTCTAACTGTTCCAGCGCCCAGACTGAGTTCTTCTCCGACATCCTTGGGCCCAGTGACCGGTGTGGACGACCAGGGAAGCAGACAACCGTCTCCTGTTGCCCAAGAAAGACGTGCCAAGTCCATCACCATCTCAAACACCTACGTTGAGCCTAAAGAAAGTTTTTCCCATGAGGCAAAGCATAAAATTTTAAATCAAGAGGTTTTACCCGACCGTACTCACCCTGAGTTGAGAAGATCCAGTCCAATGACGGACAGAGTCCTTCAAAACCAGAGTAACTTAGAGTCCCAGAAACAGGGAGCTGTGTTTCAGGGTTTCTACATGTTGCAAGAAAAAGATGGTTTAAGCAAAAGGGAAAATAGTTCAAAAGATAAATCAAGGACCCTGGAGAGGGATTTGCAGTTTTCAGCTATCCCCAAGTTGAAAATAAACAGTAGAAATCCACAGGAGTTTGTGCCAAACGGAGCAACAGGCAGTCCAAGGTTTTTTTCATCTGGCTGTGATGGGAGTCAGTCTGCTGACGGTGTTCACCGACAGCCACAGTCAGTGTGTGATGGAGGTACAAACTACACCCAGGACAGACACTACAATCAGACGTCACATCAACAAATGTACCCTGAGAGAAGCACAGCTTCACCACAGGCTGCCGGGGCTTCATGTTCCGCCACGACCATCTTCAGTCAGATCAATGTCTCTCCAAATATTGAGACAAGGAGAAGAAGGTTTGACTTACGCAACGATGTGGAGGTGGATGCAACGCTTTCATCATGCTTCAGTCTCAGAAGAGCTAAAAAAGAGAACAATAAGTTAACTCTGACAGAAAACTCTCCGCCTGCTGTCTGCAGACAAACTCCAACTCCTCAGAAACACAGGCTCTGGTTGAAGGCCCAGAGTCAAGCTGCTGAGAGAGACGTGAGTCGGTCTGGCTCTTCTTCAAGGGATCACAGCTGCCAGTCAAAAGACATCGACCAGAAACCTGTGACATCTCGGCATGGATTTAGGACATGTTTTCGAGACCCTCATGCGGGGGCCTCTGTACTTGGCCCAGTTGAGTGTACTCCATCCCGAAAGAAAAACACTGTAAACCCTGACATCCAGCGCCAAAAACATCTGGAAAACTGGGAGCGAACTCCTGCACTGGAAAATGAAAATCACAATGACCTAAATTTCAGTCTGAATCAGGGCGACATGTTTGCACTACCTGAAGACCACAGTGTGCTGGCGCGGCTGTTAGGATGCCCCCCAGAGGAACGTGTTGTCAGCAGGTCGCTGTCACTGAGTCCAAACAGTTCACACACCGTCTCTGACTCAACACAGAGCAGAGTTTACCAGAAACCAGAACAGACATCAACCACTCCGATGGCAAACCAACTAAACTGCTGTGTGGCAAAGAGAGCTTTTATCATGGAGGAAGCAGAGGACCCCTATTACGTAACCATGTATTACCCGGGCTCCGAGTATGTTGGTGAGTACTAATAAAAAACAAACAAACAAAGTACTCAAACACTGTTAAAGTCCAAACATCCATTAGTGCATCACCATGAAAGGGACCCTTCCTCTGATGTTTTAATCTCTTTAGTGCTGGAGTTTATTATTAATTCTCTTCACTATGTAGGAGGGAATTCAGGAGAGGGGCTTGGCCCCCAGAGGACAGTGGGGGGATTTAAGACGCTGCTGCTTATCAGCAGGGTAACAGACGTGCTGGAGAGAGACGTGACTCTGAGGAGGGCATTGGTTAAAAACCCTCTGAGTATCTGAGTATCACACAAAGACGTGCCACAAGAAACAGGCAAACACACGGCGAACATGCAGAGGGGAAGGCGAAACGAGGGCAAAGGGAGAGCGACTGTGAGATGAGGTGTGAGTACTGCAGTGACACAGATACTACTACACAGGAAGAATTCTGAAGTCAGGTTTTACTGCCTGTTCCATCTATTAGAGCTGCTAACTCTCTCCCCCCCGGTTAGTAATAACATATGCACAGTATTTACTTGTTAGCTCGTTGCCCCCAGCAACATCTAATGACCAGCTTGCAGAGTAAACACGATTTCTGCTAAAGTATCTAATCGACAACATTTTTGTGCAGTGATTAAATACACCATTATGTTATTATTGTATTTATTTTAATTTAATGGCCTAATAAAGTGGACTGCCCACAGCTAAAGAAAACGGATTAATTAAAAAATAAAATGTGTAAGTATAAACATATAAATCATATTTATTATAACATTATTACCTGTAATAAACTGTATCCATATGCAGTTTATTAAGCACTAATCCCAGGCTATAATTCGAGAAGATATATATAGTTCAATTTTTATTTTTTTTATTTTAAGTTTGCCAAGATTTTCTGACACAAACAGTTTGTTTATTAATGAATCTCTCGATCTCTCATAATACGTATAAAGGCAATTTACATAATTTTTTGTTTATATATGTTTGGTCTAATTGTACTGGTGTATTTTTGGTTAGTATTTGAGAGCTGACTGATTTGGGGTAAAAACATATAAAAAAAGACAAACTGCTCCATTGATAATATTTAGCTGTGAGCTCACACACTCACACACTCACGCTGTCGGTGTTTGATTACGTTATGTCTCTTATTCTGGCACAGCTGCCTGAAGCAGCTCGGCTTTAATTGTCTTGTTGGACATAAGCATGAGGTCCACACTGACCTCCCTCCTGGCGGGTGATTTGTCGTACCTATTAAAATCCACTCAGTAATTGGAACTAATGCCCCACTGAGAGTCACGGAAACCATTCATACTTTTTTGATGTATGTGCTCAATGAATATGTAGATTCTTTAGGGATAAATGTGTGTGCACCATCAAAGATCTGAAGGCAAAGTAAAATATAATAAGATTTTTTCCAGATTATACACGAGTGTGATATATTTATGCGTGAATGACAGCAACACAGGTGGAGATGAAGAAGTGAAGCAGTCGTAGTGGCGGGAGGGTAGTACTACATATCACTGCACCACCCAGCCAAACGGCTTGTTCATCTGAAATACTACCTAGAAAAAAAGCTCGTATCACTGAAGGCGACCATAAAAGTCAATTTTAGAAAAGACCATCTGCGCCTGCGCACTGCATCTCCCCGCACCTCGTCGTCGTGGTTACGGAGAAAGGGGGCGCTCACGGACGGACTAAAGGAGAGGAGAGAGGTGGAGAACAGAGGTACCCACACTCCCATCACTGCCGCTCCTCCTCCACTCGTCTCCGGGCTGGATTTGCTCCGTGCGCCGTTGCTAAATCACGGTTTCCTGACCCCGCAACAGATTCTCTGCCGGTCGGTTTGAAAGGACGCGGTAAGTGTAAACCAGCGTCGGTGCCGTCTGTAGCTGTTTGATATGAAGGGACACGGAGGCGTCACTGCTCCTGCTGCCGTTCACTCTGTAGCTTCTCTGCTAGGCTGCAGAGACAATGGGCCACAGCCTGTGACGGCGTAGCCTCCTGCATGTACACAGAGGCTGCTGCTGCTGCTGCTGGTGGTGGTGGTGGTGGTGGTGGTGGTGGTTGTTTTCAGCATGAGCATCTTTGATCAGGAAGAACGGGACGTTTTCGTCACTGCAGCCTCTGGGAACATAACATTCTGCTAAACAGACTACACTTAAGAGGAGATCGTTATCATTAGATTAAAATACATATTGTTCCTGTGGTAATTTAATGTACACTGTAAAAGACTCAGCATCATGTAGAGGTGGAGTGACATGTTGTGGTTTAACTCTTTACTTCCCCTGCTCTCGTCCAATCATGTGAGAGGACAGACGGTAGCCTTCAGGTACAACCACAACAACAGGAGCTACTGTAGCTAGTTTGATTACTGTGAATAATTTGGCAACATTGAGATCCAACATGGCCGCCCCATTGTTAAATCTTAGTGAACATTCTAATCTGATCTACTGATCTATCTGCTGGTAGACCACAGCTAATCTGATCAGGATGCTAATCACTAGAACTAAAAGTGACCATAGAGGTCTTAGTGTCGTACAGAGGTTCTAATATCTTTTTTCACGTTAGTTGAAATGTTGTTTTTGTTTAGTACACTAATATGAAGGTCACACCGGTGTTTTCATGGACTTTCTTTGTCATTTCTTAAAATGATCACTTCTGTTCAGTCACACAAATCTACGAACGCTAGTTTTGATATATATCAATTACTGCATGATAACTTCCTGTTCTGAAATCACAAAGTTATTGTGTTCTGAAAACACAATAACACCAACGTAACACGGACGCCATCCGAATCTGAAGCAGTTCTCCCAGTCTGACCACAGGGACCCTGTGGATTAACAACTGACTCAGTGAATATCTGCTGATACCTGTGTTTAGCTGCGGTGTCTCTCCTCTTGTCTAGTCCAGAGAAGAAGTTACTATCAAGCTGGCCACTACCTCCTCACTCCTGATACTAGTTAATGTGAGCATTAGGCCAACCAATCCTGTGTTAGTTTGACCACTGGGTCTGTGAGTTTAAGTTGTCTCACTGTCTCCTGTCTGTCTGTAGCTGCACAGGCTGTTATCATGGAACAGACTGGTTGTTCCGTGTGCGGGGCCTGAAGGGCTGAGTCTAACAACATCCTGGCTCTGCCCCACGTTTCTTACTGTTACCATCTGTCTATACAGTTGCTTCACCCAACGGACTGATGCATAACAACAGACTGTTGTTTAACCACCCGTTATCCACCTATTATTAAAGAACAGCAGTTGCTGAGAGGTTGGCTTTTTGTTTACATATCAGGATGCACAGCCTTCAGTGAGCGACGGTCTGCCCACCGCTGGTCTGGAGACGTGTTTTATGTCGTCTTTTTTAAAAGCTATTGAATAAACGTATAAAATGTGTCATTAAAATAAGTCACTAATGCTGAGCCGGAACGCCACTTCCAGTCACACACATGAAATATTAATGATATTTTCCGATCACGATCATGATTCTGATAATGGAAACTTAAAAATAATGGAAACTGAAAATACCCCCCAAAACAATCTTCCTTGCGTCATGACCCACTTGTAGAGATTGGAGCTTTAGTTCCCTCTACAATTACTTCTATATTGGGAATTTTTGTTGTTACATTGTTACAATAACTTTGGTATTGATGTTTGTATTCCCTGTAAAGGTAATATCTGTTATATTTATAATAAATAACTAAAATGTTTTTAATATATATTCGGTAGGTTTTCTACTGAGTTACAATGTAATTTTGAAACATATTTCCTGTATCTAAAATAGTTTTCTGGTGATGCCAATGTGCTGTTTTTTCAGTAACATCTATTCGGGTGGAGTCAAATTTGAAATGTTCTTTTTTTACACTTGAAATCTCATCGAATGTGTCGTCCACCGTGGGCAGGTTTGATGACAAAACTTTACTCACACACAAAAAATGATTTTGCCTACTGTGAGACAACGAAAGAAAATATTGATATTGAAATGAATCTGCCCTGCTGTGCCTACCCACTCGAGGGGCCCGCCCCACACTTTGGGAACTACTTCAGCTGCAGTCTGTTCTTCAGCAGCAGCTTTTGTGTTCCTCCTGAGTTCATGTCCTTATTCTGGCTTCCCTCAAGCAGCCATTCCTAGTCTCTGGAGATGACAGATAAAAACCAAACAGTACCTCAGAGGCACCGGCCTCTGAATAAAAGTGAATTCATGTTTCTGTCACTTTTAAATGTCATTGTCAAACCCGAATGAAAACGTTCTTCTGTCGGTTCACTCTCAGCTCTGAAATTGAGTTTTGATTTCACAGAAATGCTGGGATTATTCAAATAACTTTAAACTTTGTTGTTTTTCTCTTCTCCGTAGACATGTCAGACGTAGTTCCTCCAGAAGTGAGACCCAAACCTGCCGTACCGGCCAAGCCACCAAATGTTGGGGCCCCCTCTCCCTCTAGTCCTTTCCCACCACAGGGGCTTGGCATCGGAGGAGGTTCTGTTCCTCCTCCAAGTGCGATTCCAGTCGCAATCGGGAGCCATAGCCTGAGCCACGGAGGCAGTCACGGTGTTGGTCACGGTGTTGGTCATGCCGGGGGTCATGCTACAGCACACACTGGAGGTCACACTGTCTCCCACAGCTCCAGTGGGGGATCCACTCTGCTGGGATACATTGGCATTGACACCATCATTGAGCAGATGAGGAAGAAAACCATGAAGACGGGCTTTGACTTCAACATCATGGTAGTTGGTGAGTCACAGTACCATCTGGGTCTAGGTTCCATTTAGATGGAGCTTAAATGGATTCTCCTACAGCCTGACATCTGTTCTCGTCATTCAGGTCACAGTGGGCTGGGAAAGTCCACTCTCCTCAACACGTTGTTCAAGTCTCAGGTGAGCCGCAGGAGCGCCGGCTGGTCACGTGATGAGAAGATTCCCAAAACAGTGGAGATCAAAGCAGTTTCTCATGGTAGGTTGAAGAAACAGCCTTTGACCTGTTTTATAAAATGGCACATATACAGTATATTTTACACTTATCATTGGCAGTGAAACGTCTCTTCTTTGAACTGTTTATTCACATCATAATCATTAGTTATTTTCTAATGTGGAAGTGAGTACTGTATTTTCCAGACTATAAGTCGCACTTTCTTTCATCCTTTGGCTGGGTTTGCAACTTATCCTAAGGGGCAACTCTATATATAATTATATATAATTTCATATATATGTAAGACTTAGGATACTCTGGAACAAAAATCTGGTAGTTTTAATCTGGTATCTTAGAAATGTTGTCAAATATTTCAAATATTTATATATAAATATAAATTATATATAAAAATATAAATTATATATAAAACCATAATATAAAGTAAAAAGAACCTTTTCTACATTACAATGGTGGAATGAGTTGTAAAATGTTAGCAAACGAATAAAAATGACTTGAAATCATATCTTATGTAAAGTGAAGGATTAATGTGTTCCAGCTATCAGTAGTGTGAGGGCAAAAGGTTCAAAGACGAAGACCGTTTTGAGTCTAAACACCTGCTTGTGGTGTTTTAAGCAAATCTCGTAGAATTCTGCAGCGTATCTTCCTCACAACCTACTCGTCTTTGTGAAAAGACAAAAATATTTTGCAAAGATTCAGTTAATCAAACAGATTTCACATCAAACTTGGTGAAACTTTTCATTTTTTAACTAATTTTATTATTGTTTACTTTTGAGGCTTGAGAAACCTTGACAACAACGTAATGAGAAAACTTGCCAAAGCCGTTGGACGTGCCTGAGAGTCGTGTCATGTGTCTGTTATTAAAATAAAAAATGTAAAAGATCTCTCTCTTTCTCTTAGATCTACCCTTGTACTTCTCTGTGTCGTCTCACTGTATTTTTGGTTCTTCACAGTTATTGAGGAAGGCGGTGTAAAGATGAAGCTGACAGTTGTCGACACTCCAGGCTTTGGAGACCAAATCAATAATGACAACTGGTAGGTTTCACCAACTGAAGATCAATAACGCCGTCTGCAGCGATGTGCTCGACAACACTGGACGTTTTATTTTTATCAACTACTTTTGGGTTTACTCTATTACTGGCTATATATTTATTTTATAAAAAAATGTTTGATTCTTTATTTCAGTTTTCTGTAACACAGAACCCTTCGTTTGTTTTCGTAGCTGGGAGCCGATTTCCAAATACATCAATGAGCAGTATGAGAAGTTCTTGAAGGAGGAAGTAAACATCACCAGAAAAAAGCGTATACCTGACACCAGGATGCACTGCTGTCTCTACTTCATCTCCCCAACTGGGCACTCGTGAGTTACTTCCAATCAAAATTATATATGAAAAAGATGCACTGGAATGAAAGGGACAAATCAGGTTTCCTTGGTCCTGCGATGTGACCTATTTGCTGAATCACAGCATCACCACCAACACAATTTCTTCCACTCCTGTTATAAAACGTGACATCCAAATCTACAAATGATTTTTCCTTAGTTTCTTAACTTTCCCTTTTCATTTTCCCTTCATAGGCTTCGACAACTGGACATAGAGTTCATGAAGCGATTGAGCCACTCGGTCAACATTATACCCATCATTGCTAAAGCAGACACAATGACTATGGAAGAGAGGCAGGAATTTAAACAGCGGGTGAGTGTCAACAAAGATTAGCAAGAATTATTTTGAGAAATTTGTAGATGATGTCACTTCACTGGACCAAAGCCTGGGGGCCCAATATTGTGTATTTCTGAATCTCAGTGTTAGACGTTTATAGAAATGGAAACTTATTTGAAAATCTTCTAAAAAATAAATTTAACAGTTGGCATTTTTTAAAGATATAAAATTAAAATATAGAAAAAAAATGTATTCTGCGGTGCTGTTAGTTGGTATGTCCACCAGAGGTCAGTGTCTCCATTTTTGGTTTTAATTGACCCGTTGACGTTTGGAACTCTGGAGAGGAAGTCGTACGAATGCCAAACGTGTCGATTTTATTTGAAAACGTGAAATTAACTAATTATAAAACTGAAACTACAAAAACGTTAAACATACATATTTAACTGATTTGGTGTGGACTGGAAGTTTAATCTTAAAGCTAATAAACAGTGTTTAGAACGGTCTGGCGTAATTGCTAATGCTAACGCGAATGATCCACTGTTTTCAAGGTTCGTGCAGGAGAGTGCTTATAATCATTTTCTGTTGCTCTGAGTAAACCGCGAATTTATATAGTTTTAGAAGACATATTTTACAATAACATTTTGACGGTCGATAATGTAGTATTTTTGTGATTATTTTTGCTGCAGGTGAGAAAGGAATTGGAGATGAATGGGATTGAGATTTACCCACAGAAGGAATTCGATGACGACATGGAGGACAAGAGTGACAATGACAAAATCAGAGTGAGTTGTTCTGTGGTTAATGACTCGGCTTTGAGGCCCTGCTGCTTCACCACCATTTGACAAATTGTCAGTTATCCT